AGAGAAGAAGTCTAGGCAGATATAAATTGGTGAATTGTGTGACAATAGGTAGTTAATTGAATGATTAGGGATTTAGGGATTGTATATACATTTTGAAAAGAAGAGGGTCTAGGACACATTTTGAAAAATACTAGTATTTAATGAACAGCTAAAGTAGAATGCAGAAGGATGCGGAGATGGATGGACGTCAGATATATAGGAGGCAAACTAGTCGAATACAATGTTAACTATTTCAAGAGGAGATAATATTTTAGGGCATATCAAATAAAATACAGACTCTTTATCGTGGCTTGTAAGGAAGACCCTATGTGTTCTGCTACCTTCCCATGTCTTTGACCTCATTTCTCATCATCTTACTGCTGGGCTGCTTTTATGCTTTAACAAGTCAGGCTCTCTCCTGCCTCAGGACCCGTGCACTTGGTGTGCCTTCGCTGGGATGTCGTTCCCCAATGCAGATGTCATCTCAGAGAGAGTAGCCAACCCTGCAGTCCCTTTTGCAAGATTCTTATCAGTCTCTTTCAAACTTTGGATTTCATTATATAACTTAGATTAAATTTTTCTTGGGCCTCAAGCAAATCAAATCAACTCTTTAGGACATGCTAAAGAAATTTAATTTTGCAGAAATGTTTAGCAGTAATGCTAAAGAAGAATTTTTAAATTTTAGAGTGTATTCCCCCTAAAGCATCTTGATGTGAATTGATGAACGGTGAGAGCTACGTCTCTCTTACACCCTTCGATCAAATGGGTTGCACAATGGAGGAATAGGGAAAGCTGAAAAGGTGCTCAGTCCACTCTGTTAAGCATGCAGAAATAATGAATGACAAATACGTCACGTTATTGATAATCCAATAGATATAAAACAGTCATAAAGTCAGTGATTACTTTCTGGATGATGAAGCTCTTTTCTAAATAAAAGTAGACGAAGGCTGTTTAAAAGCCAGTTTCAAGCTGTCTGCAGTTCACTTCAGTTCAGTGAACGTTACTGAACTGACAGTAGAGAAGTGATAGGAGCTTGGGAGCGAGGGCCTGAGGGAAAGTTGCTGATGCGCCAAATGCTGCTTAAGTTCTTCCCCAGCTAAAGAAAAATAATTCCTCTGTTCTTTCAAAATATAAAGATCAGCTCTTAAATTGCAGGGCCGAAAAGAATAAATGGCCAGACAACCAGTGCCCATTTTATAGAATTCCACTTGCCAATTTAGGACCTCCTAAAACGCCCCTCAAGGGAGAAAAGGGCCTTTGAAGAACCTTGTTTGGTAACCACTCTTTATTTTTAAAATGCAGCTTTCAGTAGCTGTCTTGGTTGGTGTGTTTTGAGTGTCCTTTTGTTATCTTAAACATCAATTCCAAGCTTGTGGACTTTCCTAATATAGCTCTCCTCGCTCCATAATTTGGCACAAGAATGCTTTGTAGTGCTGAGTGTTTTCTTTTTCTACTTGTTTCTTCTCATAGCCGCACAAGCCTTTCACCTGGTTTTGTATCTTATTTTAGAGATGGCCCTGTTCTCAGATTTTATTTTAAATGTTGGTTGGTCCAAGCCTTGCTGCAAATGGCTTTCTGTGGAAGACAGAGAAATTTTAAAATTAGGATAAATTAAATAAGAGAAATTTCACAGGAACATAGAAATAGAAGTCATTTCAAAGATACTAGAAATTAATGCCAAGCTCCACCACCATACCATTTGTTACTCATGGAAGAATTTGAATAACAGAAGGGCTAAATGACTTGCTAAAGGTTATAAATTATTGATGTAAATGTATCATTCTCACTATTTACATGAAGACACAGTAAAATGCAAGGTGGGTCAATATTAGGTTTACAGTTGATCTTATAGATAATATACTTATCTTATAGATCAGTGTTTTCCAAACTGTGGTACGCATACCCCCAGGGGTACGGGAGTTTGGTGGGGGTATGCGTTGCACCGGAGTTTGGTGGGGATATGCACTGCACCATGCTTAGCTGCGCCTAATTCTACGTTCTCATGAGTATGAGAGGTACTCAGTGTTATGAAAATTATAGAAGGAGTACACATATGTCAAAAGTTTGGGAAACACTGTTAGATAATTCACATACTCACAACTGTAAACCTACTTTTGCCCCTCCCTGTTTATCTGCATATTTTTCTGTACATGGTTGTAATGTTGCTGTTTGCAAGGATGTTTTTCTTTTTTGAGTTTACAACTGAGCAAGCCTGTCATCATCATCATTAGTCCTCATTCATTCAACTTCAGCACCTGTTTTATCTTGGGCACTGGAGATGCAAATATGAATAAAGCTTTACTCCTGCTCTGGAAAATTTCATAGTTCATTGGAGGAGAAAGATACCGATATTACACTGAGTGGCCAGATTATTATGATCTCTGAACACATAATAATCTGGTCTCTCAGTGTATATCCTATATAATAAAAGGCTAATATGCAAACTGTCCCCTCTGCACCAGGCCTCTACTATATATATATACTGAGTGGCCAGAATATTATCTGTTAAGAGATCATAATAATCTGGCCATTCAGTTTATATAATTGCATTTCAGAGTGATATGTTCTGTATAATAAATATATTAAACAATTTCCATAGTCATAAAAAGGAGGGAATGCTCAATTCTGGGCTATATAGCAAGGTTACAAAGAGAAAGTGACATTTGAACCAAGTCTTGAAGGATAGATGGGAATTTGCCTTTTGGAAAGAGAGGAGAAAGGATGGGAATTAGAGAGTAGGAAACAGCCTGTGCAAAGGCCTAACATGCAGGGTATGCCGGATAAGGAGAATGCCTTCATTGGAGAAAAGGCTTTGTGAAAGACAGTTGAGTCAGAGTTATTGTCCTTTGAAGGATTTTATATTGTCCTTTGAAGGATTTTAAAATTAGGGCTGAGATAATCAGATTTGAGTTTGAAAACTTGTAGTAGTTTGGGGCTGGAGGAAGAATAATAAGTGGCAGATACCAGTTAAAATCTTTCTTAGGTTTCTAAGTAAAACACAAGAGTTTATTTACACACAAGACAGTATCTGTAGAGATAAAGCAAGTCTCTAGATTTCAGAGAGCTTTCCGAAGTGTGAACAATATAATGTTGTACTCAATCAAAATGATACAGGAAATGTGGGCAGTGGGGAAGAAGTAGGGGGTATGATTGGAGTGACTAGGTGGACTAACTGAAATTAGCAGAATTGGGGGGAATGTAAAAGGAAAAGCAGGATTGTCCTTTTTTTAAAATCCTCACCCAATGATATTTTTTCCATTGAAAGTGGAAAAGAGAGGGAAAGAGAGAGAGGAGAAACATTGATGTGAGAGAAACACATCGATTGATTGCCTCCTGCACACACCCTGACCAGGACCCAGGCTGGTGAGGAGCCTGCAATTGCGGGATGTAACCTTGACCCGGGACCCTTCAGTCTGCAGGCCAAGGCTCTATCCATTGAGCCAAACTGGCTAGAACCAGGATCGTCCATTTTTGTTTGTCTTTTGTTTGTTTATGGGGACAAGGTAGGTTTAGTGTTTTCAAGGACATTCTAACAGGCGAGTCTGGATCTAAATCTTGGGAAAGAGGTTGCCATAGGAATATTTTTGAGTTCTTACTGTTTATTTTTCCATAAGAAATCAAAGTTCTTAGGGGTCAACTGATCATGGTCTCAGTAAGGTGACTGTAGAACCAAAACATAAATTCCTAAGCTTCTTACCAACTAAGCCTTAATACATTAAGCGCCCTGTCAGTCACCGGTGACTGCCACCAAAACAGGCTGGGCGCTTAACAGTATTAACTCAAATGGCCTTTTGTGAAAGAAAGCATAAATCTTTTTATTTCCACTATAATTATTTTACTGTTTTGCTTCTCAGAGTATCTCCAAATAGATAAATTTAAAACTTGTATGTATATTCACAATGCCTTTATTTTCTGTCCTATTTTCTGATGTTATTTGACTGATGACAGACAAGTAAAAAAAGCTGAAGACCCCCACACCTCTTCTTTTTCCATAGCAAAACCTTAAAATTCAAAGATTATATAGTCCTCAATAAATAATCATTACGTCCTATATGTTTGACCTAATCTTAGTTATTGCCCTGTTTCTGAGGAGACTGTATGTGTTAAACAATGAATTCAGATGTAAAGTCCACTTCTGTAGGAATTTAAAAATACCTTTTTTTATATTGGGATTATTGAGCTATACTTCTTTTTAAAAACTAGTGGATAAAGTAGACAGTTTTTCAAAATCCACCCATACCTCCAAATTTTAGTGCTCACTCAGCATTAATTGAAACGGGTGGTTGTGTAGGCTTTGAACAAGGCAAATCACCATACATATCTGATATTATTTTTTCATATAATAAAAAAATAAGCCCACTTTATTGACATAAAATTCTAATTTTAACTGTTACTATCTAGATTCTTTGTGTAGCTTCTTGGGCTGTGGTGTTTTTCGTTTACTTAGTTCTTGATTGCTGTGACATGTAGTTGCCTGCTGTATAAGGCAGCTGCAGTGGAGTGCACCCAGAGGTGGTTATCATTCTATATTTAGTGAGCCATAGGGTTTGTAAAGCATTTGCAAATTCCTTCAGGATAAAATAGTTTCTATAAATGTAACCCTTTTAATGAAACTATTATTATCAACCATTAAGGAAATATAGCAGCTAATATGTATGCATTTGTGGACAAGACAGAGGCCAAAAACTTTTTTTTTTTCTTTCAAGAGCTCACTGAGTATTTTATTTTTTATTTTTTAATATATTTTATTGATTTTTTTACAGAGAGGAAGAGAGAGGGATAGAGAGTTAGAAACATCAATAAAAGAGAGTCATCAACAGGCTGCCTCTTGCACACCCCCTACTGGAGGTGTGCCCGCCACCAAGGTACATGCCCTTGACCCGAATCAAACCCGGGACCCTTGAGTCTGCAGGCTGACACTCTATCCATTGAGCCAAACCGGTTTCGGCATCACTGAGTATTTTAAATACTTAAAATTAATCATGTGATCCTATTTTTATACTCTTAATCTTGAATTGCAGAGCTTTTACTCAAGTGTTTACCTTTGGCCCAACATTTCGAGCCGAGAATTCTCAGAGCCGGAGACACCTGTCAGAGTTTTATATGGTAGAAGCCGAGATCTCTTTTGTTGAGAGCCTTCAAGATATCATGCAGGTAGGTACACAAATTTTAAAATAGATTCTAAATGTCAGGCATCTGTAACATTAAAATGCTTCTGTATACATTTTTTACATCTGTGCATTGCAAGGTGTTCATAGGATGAAGAAGATAGAGAACTAATTAATTTAATAAACATCTATAGAATGCCTTTAGTACAAGAGCTAGACATTTAAGTTCATATTTCAGGTTTGCCCTTAACTTGGTTACGATATTACCCAACCTTGGTGATCTTTAGCTTCCTCAATTGTAAAATGAGACTAATAGTACCTATTTCATAAGGTTGTTGTGAGGAGTAAAAGAAACAGTGTATACAGTGTAAAGCACAAAATCTGACACATTGCAGGCCCAGTGAATAGTAGTCCTTGTCATTTCGTAGGCAAATAAAACATCTTTATGGTTAGGGGAATTTCTATAAAACTATATTAGAAAGCATCCACAGGAGGCAAGAGATGAGAATGGAGAAATGCCATGCTTAGGAGTTTGAATTTAATCCAAAAGGTAAAGGAGAAGGAGTTCTCTCTGGGAAAGGCCATGGTCAGAGTTATAATTTAGAAAAATCTCTCTAGAAGCAATATGAAAAATGATTTAGAGTGAGATAAAAATAGGGGTGGGAGTCCTTTTAAGAGGTTGTGGCCATAATCCTGATGGAAAACACAAGTTCTGGAGTGGAATGGACCAGGATTTGTTCATCAGTTCCTTGCTATGTGACTTTAAGCAAGGGGCTTAATTTCTCTGAGCCTCAGTTTCCTCATCTATAAAATGGGAAATAATAATGCTTACTTCATAGGATAGTTCAGAACAGTAGTCTCCAACCAGTAGTCCATGAGGTTCGAAAGGTTGGCAACCACTGGTTAGAGGATTAGACAGATATATATATAAGGTACTTAGCATAGTTCATGGCACTTAGCAAGGACCCAGAAATTATTTACTATTGTTATTATGAATTCTCTACTCAGTACCATTTTGGTTAACATCTTAGTTTGGATTTGTAATTACAAGATGTTTATTTTAGCAATTTTTATCAGCTATCACTTTCATTCATTTATATCTCTTCTATTCTTATTCACCCTGTAAATGACCCAATTCCACTTAAAACATAAATACTAAATATACCACCAAACAGAATAGACTCACTATTTGATCATCATGTCTTAGGTTGTATATTTTAATAAGCAAGCTCTAAATCAGAGATTAGCATCGGGGGATTTTGAGGAATGCTCTAGAGAACACGTGTAGGGAAAGGAAGAAAGCAGCACTGGGCAGAGGGAGAAGTTGAACTGTGATGCATTTACAAACAGAGGCCTTAGCCAGCTCTGTGAGAAGCTTTGGAGCTGGAATGTTGTCCCATATGAAGGCAAGAGGTGGGCTTTTGTGCTTCCCCACATCAACCAGTCATTGGAAAGAGGTACCATGGTAAGAGAGCACTCTTGGCCTGGACCATTCCTGAAGAGGGACTCGACCATGAACCAACAGCAGTTAATATTCCCAGAAGAGAAAACTCTTTGTTCTGAAGGGCTGTTCTGGCCACATACCATAGTATCCATTTCCTACCCCTTTTACATCTCCCACTGTTGTTCTAGATCACTAGAGAGTAGGTTGGGAGTGGTTGCTAATGATATCTAGTGAGTAGACGAGGAATGCTCTTCAGCATCCCACAGTGCACAGCCCTCTCCCCCCAACAAATAATTCTCTGGCCAAAAATATCAATATTAAAACTGTTGAGTAACCCCTTTCTAGATTGTAGCGATTCAGGTCTGAGCCTCACATGGAGTCAGTAAATTCCTCAAACTGCTTTCAGTTTGAGCCCACAACCCAATTCTATATTACTCTTTCACTTGGGCAATGAGTGTATTAAGGAACAGAACCATACTTTTTACCTCCCTATTTCTTCTGCCTTGACCCTATCTCCGCTGCCCCAAAGTAGAGTCCAGAGGGAACAGTTACAAAAACAATACATAAATTACGTTAGAATTTATTAAACTTTATAATATTTGCTTTATAATTGTATATGCTATAATTAACATATTTGGTACTACACTGAGTGGGACTTAGCTTTTATACTGTTGAAGGATTGGATTAATTAAAATATAAACTTTTCTCATAAATATAAGTGAAAAAAATATGCTCCCTCAAAAGTGATCTCCTGCTTTTCTTAACTTTTCTTCCTTTTATAAATTACATTCTGTGAGAATTATTATCCTGATAAAAAGCAGTCTCTTAAATATTAAATTAAAATATTGTAACAAAGGATTTTTCTTCTCATGAGGTATAGCAATTACATGTCACTATTTTAGAGCCATTGAGTAATATACCTTTAAAAACATCTGAGGGTTATGCTGACCCTTCAGTTATGTTTCTTTTTCCTTCAAATATATTTATAGAGCATAGTCTGAAAGTCAAGGTTAGAGAAGCCAATGATTTACTTCTTCAAATGGAAATTTACTGCTCATGAAAGACACCGATTTAACAGCTCCAGTGGTCAAAGTCTTCATCTTACTGATTTACTGATAGGTATACTGTGTCCCTCAACAGTGCAGGCTCACTGTCCAACTACCTGTTCTTTTTTCCTCCCAATATGCATCGGCTTTTTTTAGTAATTGAAGATATGACTCTTCATAAATCATTTAGTTACTTAGTGATTTCTTTATCTCGTTGCTAGAGTGAAGGAGATACAGCCTCAAGGTAAAAGATCTTTGGCCTCCTTTTGCTCTTCTTTTATCCAATTATTCCTTACAACTATTATTATGTATCCATATATATTTCCAAATATAAAATGTGAAGTATATATAAATATAAAAGTATTATGTATATATAAATATAAAAGTATTATGTATATATAAATATATCAGGTTATCACTTGGTAATTAAATACTTTGTTACATCCAGTCATATTATATTACTTCAGTTAAACGCTTATGCCCCCCACCCCCTCATCTCACTCCCGACACACATACACACACACTCCCTGCATTTGCAGCCTTGATAGGATTCACCAGTAATGCCAGAGAGGCAGCCTGTGCTTAATAAATGCATGTATCTTTACGAGTATGACATTTAAAGGGCCTATTATGATTTCATTGACTTTAAGCAAATAATTTTATTTTTATTTTTTAAAATATATTTTATTGATTTTTCACAGAGAGGAAGGGACAGGGATAGAGAGCCAGAAACATCGATGAGAGAGAAACATGGACCAGCCGCCTCCTGCACACCCCCCACCGGGGTCATGCCCGCAACCCATGCACATGCCCCTGACCGGAATCGAACCTAGGACCCATCAGTCCGCAGACCGACGCTCTATCCACTGAGCCAAACCGGTTTCAGCTAAACAAATAATTTTAGTTTGCGTTAAAAATATTTTAGAAATATTTTCCATTTCAGTCACTTGTTCTTCTACGAACAAGTTTTCCCCATGAGGTTTCTATGGACACTTCTGATAGAATGAATTCTTATCACAGGGAAGCAAAAGTATGTTTACAGTTGTGTATGCTGATTTCTGTTATATAATGATTTGTTATTTTTTGCTTTATGCTTTAGAAAAGCAAAAATGTATATATATTTAGATATAGCTCATTGTCTCTCTGCTTTTAAAGTTTACTTTTCTTTACCAATGACTGAATGAAACACTTTTAAAAGTTCTCACTCTTCATAACTAATATTTGTTGTGCATCTGTGGGCTGGATACTAAGCTAAATCTTCTACGTGTATTATTTCATTTAGCTCTTATAACAATCCTGTAAGCTAAGTATTTAATACTATTGTTGCTATGATTCTATAAGTGAGTATATTGAAATTTAGAGAGGCATCAATCAGTTTTAGCCGTTTATTTGACATCAAACTTCAATATCGGTAATGAAGCTATTGACAAAAGATGTAAACTTATTCTGTCTCATTTTTCCCCCTCTGAGAAGTTGCAATTCCTCCTCTAATCAATCTGGGAAACTGAACTTGCTGTAGTGCATTCAGGACGAGGTGGCCTGACCAATTGATAGTTGCTAAACCTGGAAGCAATCCTTCCAATACCCTCAACAGGTCCTACGCATAAAGTGGCTCCCAAGTCAGGCTGTTCTGTCATTGCTCTCAGGTCATGGAGGGGCTCTTCAAGTCCGTCACAGCGATGGTTCTCGCCAGCTGTCCCGAGGATGTTGCGCTCTGCCACAAATTCATTGCTCCTGGCCAAAAGGTAATTCATTTGGTAGATAAAGCCCAGCACATCCACTCTTTAAATATGTTAATATCTAATGAAAACAATTACAGTTAACAATAAATTTTCTTTTTTCTCTTTTCTTACCAAGGACAGATTAGAACATATGTTAAAAAACAACTTTTTAACGTAAGTAGATATTACACTTTCTCTGAACTGTATTCATACTTTAGCATCATTTATCACACTGTATTAATATTTTTGCTTATATAACTGCTTATCACACTCCCTAAACTCATGAAAGATCTATATTTTAATTATCTTTATAGCTCTTGTTTCTGGTTCATAGTCAGTAATCAATGTTTCATTAATAATTGAATAAATAAATTATAGCAATATAAATGAACATAGTAATTATTAACTGTATTAATGCAATTCAAACTAATACTAACTTTAGAAATCAAAATTGGCTCATTAAAAACAAACTTAAGCCCTAGTTGATTTGGCTCAGTGGATAGAACGTCGTTCTGTGGACCCAAAGATCCTGGGTTCGATTCCAGTCAAGGTCATGTACCTTGGTTGCAGGCTCCTCTCAGGCCCAGCACCTGGTCTGGGCTCATGCAGGAGGTAACCAATCGATATGTTTCTCTCATATGTGTGTTTCTCTGTCTTTCCCTCTCTCTAAAAATCAGTGGAAAAATATCCTGGGGCAAGGATTAAAAAGAAAAAAAAAAAATCTTAAAATTCATACATGTAATGTCTGTCTCTCAGTCTTCCCTTTTCTTTACCATCACTTGCTAAAATCTGATAATATATTCTAAACTTTTTGCCACTTTTTAAAAGCGTAACATATATTATTGCCTTATTTCCACTATAATTCTATTTAACTATTACTTATACTTATTTCACCAACCATATTAATCAAAGAGGCATAAAAGACAGTATTCAGTGTGTTTACAGTATGTGTAGGAAGTTGTACATTAGAAGAGAAGAAAATTGCTTCTGAAAAATAAATTAATATCATTCTTCACCTGCAGTCTTTAGGTTAGGGAAGTTTTTGTTTTAATAAAGACTTCATCCCATCCTTGAGGAAGGGAATATAATAATTTGGCAGATTGACTGAGTTGAGAATTTTAGGTATCAGCCAAGCATGTATGGGCTGCATGCCTTGTTTATTTGGCCTCTGTTAGTCTTTGAGTTTGACATGGTTGGCAGACTCTCAGGCTATGAGCTAAAAGTGATGATGAGACCCTGGTCCTGATGATTAGTGAGGCAGCAGAAGTGAGTTCAGAAAAGAAGAAAAATAGTCAGCCATTGTGTGATAGAGAATGGAAAGTCAATGAAGTATAAGTGAGGACTTTTTAGGTTTTTTTCTTTCACTTAAATTTATATTGAATACTTACTATGTACCAGGTATTGTTCTAGAATCTATAAACTGTTGTTTTTTTTCCTGCTTCTAAGTTTTTATTAACATGACTTTTTAAAAACAATCATCTATACCAATGTGGGAAGTAAGGATAGGAGGAAAGGGGACAGTGGGGGCAGGTTGGAGGGGAGGATTATGCTCTGTTGGTAATAAAGCTCCAGGTTCATCCCAGAAAAATGTGGTCCTTAAAAATTGTGTATCACTTTTTAGTACGATCTTGTTCTAAAGGCTACCAGTTTGGGCTACAGCCAGCTTCTTAAGGTCCCCTATCGTGTCATCAATGTTGCACTTGCACGAGCTCTTTCTTTCCCATATGGTCCATCTTTGTAAACAACCTCTATCATCCCTTATAGAGCTTGAATCGCTTGGAACCTGCTGACGGCACATCCTTCTCGCTGGAGAGCAGTGCCAGGACCATAAACACTGTATTAAAGCAGTGAAAAAGCAGATAAAACTCCCTGCCTTCATTGAGCTTACATTTCTGGTGGAGGTAATAATAGCTAAAAAACAAGATAAGGAAGTTATCATGTAGTCTATTAAGGCCTCTGACTGACTAGATATGACCTACCCACATTATGGAGGTAAGCTGCTTTACTCAGAGGCCACAGATTTAAATGTTAATCTCATACAAAAGACACATTTATAGAAACTTCCTGAATAATGTTTGATTAAATATCTGGGTACCGTAGCCCAGCCAAATTGACATATAAAATCAACATTCACAGATCAGGATAGTGGCAATGGAGGTAGAAAGAGGTTTTCCTATTCTAGATATATTTTAAAGATAGAGAAAACAGGATTTGCTGAGAGGGAGAAGGAGATAGAAGAGTCAAGGGTGACTTCAATGCTTTTGTCCTATACCGCTGTAAAATTGAAGCTGGCATTAACTGAGATTGGGAAAGCCTTAAGAGTAGCAAGGGTTAGGGGGAGAAAGGGGATGATATCGAAATCCTTATCATTAGGGATCATTTTAAGACTGAGAATCTTTTCAGATATCCAGTTATAGCTGCTGGGTAGGTAGTTTGAGTGCATAGATGTAGAGTTTAGAGGAATGTTCTGGACATAAGCGTATTGGTAGAAGTAGTAATTAAATAGATAAGGAAACAAGTAATTTGGACATCTGAAGAAATTAGTGCTTGTGATGAAAAACCAGGGAGAAGATATTAAGAGAAGTAATGTAGCTCCTATTTAATGCACTAGTTCTTAGATAAAGGAAAAATATATCCACCATTCATTCAACAACTCTGTGAGTAGTTCTTATTGCCGTTCGATAGATAAAGAACCAACTCAAAGAGAGTAGGCCAGTAAAAGAAGAAGTGGATATTCAAATTCATATTTATCTGATTTCAAAGCTCATGCTTTCAACCACAATACTTATTGTATTTGAAAGGGCTATAGAGTTAGTGCTAGAATAGTTGTAGCTTCCCCACTGACCTTAAGACCCTTATGTATCACATAACTTTCGTGCTTTGGAGTCTGTGTCCATAAAATACTAAATTTGGGAAATGACCTCATGATCTATACCATTTCAATCATTGCCATTACTATCATCCATCCCACACAGCACAAGTCATAGTTGAGGCTTAAATTTACATGTGTGACTGTTAGTGTCTGTCACCTCCATGTGGTCAGAGACTTGTTTATTCTATTTATTATTATGTCTCCAGTGCTTAGCACAGTGCCTCTGATAGGAACTCGGCAACCTATTGAATACCTGAGTGAATTCATAAATGACATATAAGTAACCAGAGGTGGGTGAGATATTCTCCTTTAGACTAGGTTCTCTCCTTGAGTTTTCCTATTATGATAATTCCAATCACTATTTACTTTAGACACTGAGAATAGTGAATTATGATTTATAAGACCTGGATTCTAATTCTGCTTCTGCCACTTATTAGCCATTAAAGAATGAATTAATATTTATCGACCACCTAGTATGAGTTAGGTACTATGCTACTCATTGAGGATTTAGTGGTGAAAATAGTCATGGATCAATCCTGTTACAGAATTTAAAATCTAGAGAAAAAGATGAATAATTTGATATTTGCATGAATAATTATTTAATTACAACTGTGAACCTAATTATAGTAAACTAGAAGCCTGGTGCACGAAATTCATGCACAGGGGAGGGGAGTCCTGTCCCTCAGCCCAGCCTGCACCCTCTCCAATCTGGGACCCCTCAAGGGCAGTCGAACATCTCTCTCATAGTCCAGGACTGCTGGCTCCCAACTGCTCGCCTGCCTTCCTTCCTGATTGCCCATAACCACTTCTGCCTGCCAGCCTGATCACCCCCTACCACTCCCAGGCCAGCCTCCTTGATGTCTAATTGCTCCCTGCCAGCCTGTCTGCCCCCAACTTCCCTCTTCTGCCAGCCTGGTCACCCCTAACTGTCCTCCCCTGCAGGGTTAATCACCCCCAACTGCCCTCCCTTGCTTGCCTGATCACCCACAACTGCCCTCCCTTGCAGACCTGGTCCCTCTCAACTGCACTCCCCTGCTGGCCATCTTGTGGTGGCCATCTTGTGTCCACATGGGAGCAGGATATTTGACCACATGGGAGCAGCAATCTTGATCTTGTGTGTTGGAGTGATGGTCAATCTGCATATTACTTTTTTATTAGATAGGATAGAGGCCTGGTGCATGGGTGGGGACCAGCTTGTTTGCCTTGAAGAGTATCCCAGATCAGGTTGAGGGTTCCCTTAGGGTTGGGGGTTGCCTGGGTGAGGAGCCTGTGGTGGTTTGCAGGCCAGCCATGCCCCTTGGAAACCCAAGCAGAGGCCCTGTTATCTGGGATTTATTTACCTTCTACAACTGAAACTTTGTAGCCTGGAGTGGAGCCAAGCCTTCTGCTTGCTCCTTGGCTGCTGCCATTTCTGTTTGGATTTGTTACCTTCTATAATTGAAACTTTATAGCTTTGAGTAGAAGCTTAGGCCAGCTAGGGCAGGTGGAAAGCTTGGCTTCTTCCATTGCCAGAGAAACCCAAGCCTCCCTCCTGCTCTTTTTGGTTTCAGGCATCTTGGTTGGGGTTAATTTGCATATTCACTCTGATTGGCTGGTGGGCGTGACTGGTGGGTATAGCAAAGGTGTGGTCAATTTGCATGTTACTCTTTTATTAGTGTAGATCTTTTTTTTTTAAAAAATATATATTTTATTGATTTTTTACAGACAGGAAGAGAGAGGGATAGAGAGTTAGAAACAACCCATGTACATGCCCTTGACCGGAATCAAACCTGGGACCTTTCAGTCCACAAGCCGATGCTCTCTCCACTAAGCCAAACTGGTTTTGGCAGTTAGTATAGATCTTTAACCTTTCTGAATTTTCGTTTTCTCATCTGTAAAATGATCACTTGTCTTATATTATTGAAAGGGTCAAATAACTATTGCTGAAGCAAGTTGTCAGACGAGACAACTTGGAAACACTCCTAGTTAAGTATTATAAAATCCTTTTAAATGTATTGTTGGGTTCACTAGAAATTCCAGGAGCTAGAAGTGAAGAGGTAACTGAACACCAGAGGGATATGCATAAATGACATGATGCTGAGAGTTCTCAAGGTGGAGGTGAAGGGGGGTTGCCAATCTTTGTAACCAGGGATTTTTACAGCCACAAGAGGACATGACAGGAGACCTAGGCATGATGATTAATTAGAATTGAGATACTTTCTGAAATACACACACACAAGATACTATCTTCTATAATGATTTAAAAAAAAAAAAAAGGTAATATGCTAATTAGACCATACATCATTCTAGATGTCCTTCTGGATGAAGCCAGGACTGGAGGGAAGCCCAGGTCCCAGGTTTCAGAGGAAAGCCAGTGCTGGCAGCCAGGGGAAGGAATGAATGCATGAATGTCATGCATTGGGTCTCTAGTATGACTGTAATCTTTTCATTAGATTTCAGTGTATTCTTTTTTTATTATTTAATATATTTTATTGATTTTCACAAAGAGGAAGAGAGAGGGTTAGAGAGTTAGAAACATCGATAAGAGAATCATCGATCAGCTGCCTCTTGCACACCCCCCACTGGGGATGTGCCTGCAACCAAGGTACATGCCCTTGACCGGAATCGAATCTGGGACCTTTCAATCTGCAAGCCAATGCTCTATCCAAGCCAAACCAGTTTTGGCCAGTATATTCTTGATGACTTGGTATAATTGTTTCATGTAAAAATATATTATTTAAGGAATTTATGAAGTAGTTGAATTTAGCCTTTATCAAGCACAAATAGAATTCAGTTATTTTACATTTCCTTTATGGTATGGGGGTTTTTAAATATAGAATCCTTACCTTTTTACTTATCTTTATTTATGAGTGTGAATTTGAGGAAGAGAATGCTATTGATGATCTCTTTAGCATGATAGTTTTACAGCTTTAAAATAGTTTTCTTTTTACTTATCTTTATTTATGAGTGTGAATTTGAGGAAGAGAATGCTATTGATGATCTCTTTAGCATGATAGTTTTACAGCTTTAAAATAGTTTTCTTCATTCAACAATAAACATTCAAAAGAAGATGTTTGGATACTATACCATGCAATTCCACAGTGTCTTCTCTTCCTCTCCTCTAAGCACTTTGGAAAGTTCCTGGAAAGGAGAGGAAATAACCTGTGTACATATCAAGAAAAATTAGTAGAGAAAGTTAAGAGAGTCATTAAGGATATTCAGCATCAGAACTGTAATTTGAACTTGAAAGTTCTGCCTCAACTTGAGGTGTGGAAGGAGCATGTCCAGAAAAAGCAAGAGACATTTGAACATGAGAATCATTTTTCTTAAAAATAGAGCATAAACAGCAGTGGTACAACATTCTTTTTGATTGCTCTTACATTTCTCAGCATGATAATGATAGAATAGAACAACAGGATGTCTGAGCAGGAAAGAACTTTAGGTAATATAATCCAATCTCCTTGCTTACAAGTAAAAACACTAAAATGTTTAATGTTTGTATACCACATTACAAAAAATGTATAAAACGCTTCCATTAAGGTGGGGTGATTTACATAACTAGTGGGTGATAGTAGAGTCAGAGGGAAAACCCACATCTCTTGTTTTTATTGAACATATGAGACTCCGAGTGATTTAGACATTATCTTAGCAGTTAGAAGCTTAGACTCTATTCAGCACACCAGAGTTTACTACCGTGTTTCCCCGAAAATAAGACATCCTCCGAAAATAAGACCTACTTACAGGTTTCCTTCTGAGTGAAATATAAGGCATCCCCCCGAAAATAAGGCCCCCCCCCCCTAGGCTAAACATGAGAGATTTGGTCCACTGATTCTGAAAGAAATGGAGTCACAAGAAATTCACCAGGAAATTCAGGAATTGGATTGTTATGATGATGTTCCAGAAGATGATGACATGATTGTCATTGAATAAATGAGTAAATTCTTGATACTGTAGGATTCACCAGTTTGTCTGGTTTGTGTTGACAACTACCGTGCTACCGTACCGTATACAGGTAATAAATTTCCTTTATTTTCATTTAACAATAAATGTGTGCCGTATTCTTCTTCATGGAAAAATAAGACATCCCCTGAAAATAAGAACTAGCGCATCTTTGGGAGCAAAAATTAATATAAGACATTGTCTTATTTTCGGGAAAACAGGGTAGTCACATGAGTCATTTTTAGCAACTTACTGATCCTTTCTAAGCTTCAGTTTCCCCTCTAGAGGATGCTTGTTTAAAAATTATTTCTACTGCCAACACCAACATCATTCTTACCTTAGAAATTACCTGTTATTCAATACTAAGTTTTTAATTTGAATAGAATTTTCAACTTTGAAAAAAGCTATCTCTCAAAATATAGCTTTGGAGGCTTTATTTGCACTGTAAGACACAACTTTCTGATGAGTTATGATAGTATGAATTTCATTTCTGCTTCAGAGAATAAGTTTGTGTTGGGTAAGTTATTTTTGAGCTCGAAGTTCTTGAGGAACTTTATAGATTTTTGTTTTTAATCATCCAAAATACTGTTTCAGAAGACCTAGGGAAACTGACATTTTTATATGTTAGTGAACATAATTGTTGTAACCCTGTAAACGGGCAACAATATCTTTGGCAATATCTTTCAAAATATGCAAAACTGCAAATGCCAACAAACTTTAAACCAACAATTTCATTTTTTCCATTTGCAAAATTAGTATATGAGAGTCATTTGTAACATAAAATAGATATATGTAGTAATTATTCATAGTAGCAAAATTGGAAATAGCTGAAATATATACCCACCAATAGATGACTGGCTAAAACTAATTAGGATACATCCACAAAATAGAATATTACACAATAGCTCAAAAAATGAAGACGCTTTTCATATGCTGATATGGAAAGATCTGTAGGGTATATATTTTTGCATAAATAACGATGTAAGAGTGTATGGTACGTATGTGATGGCTGCCATATATTTTTTATAGGGAGATTATATATTAACTAGAGGCCCGGTGCATGAATTCATGCATCAGTGGGGTGCCTCAGCCTGACCTGCAGGATCGGGCCAAAACCGGATCTCCGACATCCCCTGAGGAGTCTTGGATTGTGAGAGGCAAAGGCCAGGCCGAGAGACCCCCACCAGTACATGATCGGGGCTTGGGAGGGACACAGGGGATTGGTCAGCCAGGGAGGGACCATGGCGAGGCTCCATGGCATGTCTGGCCCGTCTTTCTTAGTCCCAATCAGCCAGACCTCAGCAGCAAGCTAACCTACTGGTCGGAGCATCTGCCTCCTGGTGGTCAGTGCACATCATAGCAAGCGGTTGAGGGGCCTTAGCATGTCATTAGCACATTATACTTTGGTTGAACAGCTGACTGGATGACCGGACACTTAGCATATTAGGCTTTTGTTATATAGGATATTTGCTTACAGATGTGTAAAATCCTCTGGGGGAAAAACCCTGCTGAAAGGTTACCCAAAACCATTAATAGTGATTGTGTAAGGAGAGGAACAAATTAGGTTGCTATGGGGCAGGATAGGCAGATGTATACTCTTTCATACATAATAATTTCTTTATTTTATAATTTCTTTACTGGTTAAGGTATTACATATATGCCCTTATCATCTCATTGGATATATGCACCCCTATGTTCATAGCAGTACAATTCACCATAGCTAAGATTTGGAAACAGCCTCAGTGCCCATCAGCAAATGAGTAGATTAAAAAACTGTGGTAAATCTACACAATGGAATACTACACTGCAGTAAAAAAAAAAAAAAAAAAAGAATCCTTACCATTTGCAACAGCATGGATGGAACTAGAGAACATTATGCTAAATGAATAAGCCAGTCAGAGAAACATAATGATTTCTTAAAAAAATAAAAAATAAAAACACACTATATGCATTTATTACCTGTTCAAATCATTCAAATAAATTTTTGGCTTGGCTTGCTTTAGGCATGAGGTTTCTTACTGATACTCTTCTTAAACCAGTCTTACACAATGCTTAGAATATATTAAAGAGGTCTTACCATGGCCTGAAAAAGTTCATAGGACCCGAGCTGTGACTACCTCTCCTATCTAATTTCCTGGCATTCTTCCGCTTGTTCAATACTAGGTCTCATTGACCTTTTCCTTCTTTGAATGAGCCAGACTCAGGCCTCACTCAGGCCTGTGTACCCACTGTTCCTTTTGCCTGGAATACTTCCCCAGATGTTTATATGGTTCCTTTCTTCGTGCAGGTTTCTGTTAAGATGTCGCCAACTCAGAGAAGTCTTTCTTCACCATCTTTTCTAAAATAGCACCCTCAAACATCCTCTGTCTACTTACATAGCTTTATTTTTCTTCATAGCACCAATAGATCCCTAGCATCATATTATTTCTGTTTATTTGTTTATCTTTCTCCCCACTCCCCACCTATACCCCCAATATATCTATCTATCTCTATCTCTCGCTCTTTCTCTCTCACACACACACACACCATACATGAATATCTTCATAAAGGCAGGAGCTTCATTTTTAGTTACTGTATATCCAGTGCCTAGAGTAACCCCGTGCACAGAGAAGGTGCTCAATATGTTTGTTGGGTGAATGGATGAATGATGGTTCTAGGAAAATATTTTTGCTCATTCAGCCTCTATATTTCATACCGTTCATTACGGCATTGGCATAGCATGAATTCAGAGAAAATCTTTACTTGCTTAGTGACTATCTACTCTGTGTGCACCGAAAGTAGCACTGAAAGTAGGTCAGGACTGGGGTTATTAAATGGTCATTCTCTTCATGCTTATAGGAGACCCAAAGGATTAGGTAAACCTTACTTCCTGATTACTTTGTAATCATTTAATACTCATATAATCTCAAAGACTATGAAAATAGACCTTTTCTTGTTTTCAGGTGGACTAGTTAATAATAGCCGATTGTTTTCAGGTGGATTAGTTAACAATAGCCTCTGCTTTTCCGTTTCTCTCCAGCATTTCTTATACGGAAGCTGTGGAGATCTTAAAACAGGCGTCCCAGAACTTCACCTTCACCCCAACGGTAGTATTTATGTTTGAGTGTGTGTATATCAAAATGTTTTTCCTCATCCTTACCTTATTACTTAGAGGCCCGGTGCACAAAATTTGTGCACAGGCAGCGGAGGGGTGAGGAAGTGAGGGAGTGGGGGGGAGGGGACTAGGGTGTCTCTCAGCCCTGCCTGCATCCTCTCCCAATTCAGGACCCCTCAGAGGATGTAAACTGGCAGTCGGACATCACTCTCACGATCTGGGACTGCTGGCTCCTAACCACTTGCCTGCCTGCCTGATCACCCCTAATCTCTTTGCCTGCCTGCCTGCCTGATTGCCCCTAACCGCTTGCCTGCCTGCCTGCCTGTTCAGCCCCCACCACTACAGCTTTGTCTGGAAGGACATTCGAAATGATGTCCAAAAGGTCGTTCAGCTGTCCAGTCTAATTAGCAATTATGCTTTTATTATATAGATTATTTAAAATAGTCTTATTTCTCTTATTGGCAGGGTGCAAGATTTGCTCCTCTATACATTAGCTTTTTTTTATATTTGCTCAGCCTTTGATAATTTTGAAGTAGAATTGTATCATTTGTAATAGCAGTAACTAAAGGATTATACAGAAGTTTCCCAAGTTTAGGAAGATAAAAATCCTAAATTTAAAAGAATAGCAACTACAGACTATTAATATAGAAATCAACTAGTTCAGTTTTTCCCAAAGTAAATTCTAAATGATATTAACAGGTATCAAACAAAAGAGGTTAAATGATCAAGTAAGTTTAAGCAACAAATAAAACAGGTTTCTTTTTCTTTTGAACTTTATAGAGTTTTCCCGTTTGGGAAACACTGAATTGTTTTGAGTTGGTTTTTTTAAGAATGCCTTTATTTTATTAGCAAAAATATAAGTACAGAGAGGCTACATGATTCATCGGTGAGCACGCACGTAATGTTAGAGGCAAGTCTTCTCACTCCTATGCCAGTACTTCTTCCCTATAATTAAGGTACTGCCAGACATGTGGGAGTAATAAGATAATGTTCAGAATGTACAGTAATACCTTTATCTTCAACTATTCCTTATACCAGTCCCAACCCCAGTTAATGCAGATCCTCTTATAAGCTATAATAGTTATATTTATAATCAATTAATTTCTTTGCATAATTTTGTATTTAGTGTTTGTCTCCTACTCTGCAAGCTTCATGAAATTAAGGGTCTTATTTTTCTTACTATAGCCAATACCTAGCATGGGACCTGAGATTTAACAGGCACATTAGTATTTGCTGAATAAATAGAAGAACTGTGTTATTAAATATTCATCAAATAGCATCTGATATATCAGTTGACTCTTTTAGTTTAAAAAATTTCACTGAGTGAAGCCATCTAGCCAAAGATGGACTCAATATTAGAAATATTTATCTTTCATCATTTAATTTCCTGAGATTAGGACCATAACTGTAGAAGGCATTCTAGGCAATATTAATAAAACTGTGATCCGGGGTCAGTTTTTATACACTGTGGAAAGCGCACTTTTTTTCCCCTGCAGATGCTATTCATCTGCTAAATGCTGCTCCCTCAGACTGGGGCAGAGAGCATGGTATTTATCTACTCGTTTCAGCTTTCATCTTTCCAGGCCTGTGGATGTTCTTGCTAGCACATACCTCTCTACTGTAGTTATCTGTGTAACCTCAGCAGACAGCTCCACACATCGCTGATCCTCAGGGAGAGAACTGATACAGGTTATTTACAGGGTCCTGCATTGTATATTTCAGCTCTGTCTTCTCCTTTGGTAATTTTTTTTTCTCATTGCAGTGGGGTGTTGATCTGTATACTGAACATGAAAAATACCTGGTGGAGCACTGTGGCAACATACCAGTCTTTGTCATTAATTATCCATTATCACTGAAGCCTTTCTACATGAGAGACAATGAAGATGGGCCTCAGCACACAGTAAGGAATGACCAAACAAATTGGATTAGTCATCTCAGAGCCTGGGTTTTCCCCTGGGCCTAATTTTATTTATCCTTTGGCATATTTTCTTTAATTAAGTTTCTTAAAGGCATCTCTAAAAAAGTATTCACAGAGAAGATCCCAATTTTCTATAAATGTACTCCCTCATTTCTATGACAAAGGTGTCCTTACATGGCAGATGCACATGTAAGTGTGTTTTGTTTTTTAAATAACTAAGAGGAAATAGCCTAGAGCACTGCATAGCAATGCCAGGTCTACTGTCAGGTTAAGTGCTGGATAGGAGATTATAGAGGTGGGGAGTATGCTGGGCGAAAGGCCATTGCAGTAGCAAAGGAAGAGGCAGCTGGCAGAGCAGGAGGCTGCCTAATAGAAACAGTGAGGGGGTTCTGGGGGACCCAGGAGGTCTGGGTGACTCTTCTGTCTCCTCTGTTTCTCTGTTTTCTGTAGCCTTTCTCATCCTGTCTTCTTTTTTCATCCTTAACTTTAGTTGTGTTTTTTATTCTTCTGGTTTACTTTGGGGAAGGGTTTCTTCTTTGCTCCTTTACAAAATTATCTACACTAATAAAAGAGAAATATGCAAGTTGACTATACCTCCGTGACACCCACCAGCCAATCAGGAGTGAATATGATGGGTTAATTTGCATACACAGGCACAGAGCGAAGACTGAAGAGGCTTGGCTTCTCCACTGTGGCCAGAGCAGAGAAGCCTCGCCTTGAGGTTTAGCTTCTCTGCTGCAGCCAGAGCAAAGGCCTGGGTCCCGGGTGCCAGAGGAAAACCGGTGCCGGCCGCCAGGGGAAGGAAGGCCTATTGCATGAATCTTCGTGCAGTGGGTCTCTAGTCAATATATAAAATAGGAATATATTTATTGAATAGTTACATATTCAATATCATTAACTGTAAAAGTCTATGATAAAATATATTATGTTTATCTCAAAAAGGGTCCAAAAACTTGGTGCTTTTCACTTGTTTTTAGAAAAAATGTAGATTAGGGCCCACCAGTAAATAAAATGTTCCTATCTTGGGCTGTACAAGGTTGTCTATTTGAATGTATTTTCTGTTTTCTCTTACAGTATTTCTACTAATAAAACAATAAGTAGCCACCAATTAGGAGATTCCTCTGAAGCAAGCAGGACCATCTCATCTCTAAGTAATGAAACAATCCTCCCATTTATCTCTAAACTGGGAGTTTTTTCTCCCATTTTAGAGATAAAAACTGGGGTGCAAAGGCATTGATTGCATTTCCCAAAACTACTAAGACAGTAAGTGATAGAGTTGGCATTCAGACTTGATTGTCTCACTCTGAGGTCAATGTTCTTCTCTACTCTGTCTCACTGCCTCAGAATCACAAGCATCGAGTTACATGTTAGCCAGTGATTTTATTTATCCCCACCTTTCATGATGCATTATCCAAATTCAGTGAGCAGCCCAATTGATTTATGATTATTATTTTTCTTTTCCCTATCAATCCTCTGATATAATTGATTTTGAGAAATGAATTGGCCAACAGGTTGGCAACAAAACATAAACATGGGGCAAAGATTTTTCAATTCTAAATAACTTGATATTAAGTCTACATCTCTTGGCTTTTTTATCACTCCATCACATCCCACTCCCACCCTCCAGCCCCCCAAGCACACACGCACACCCTTTATTCTTCTTGTGCAATTTCCCTAGATTGAGCCCTTTTCATTGACTCCATTTATAATCTACTGAAGATTTTCTTTCTCTAAAGCCCAGTCATCTTGAGCCTTCTTTTTCTGAATTTTTATAGCATTTATTATTTTTTTTAAATATTTTATTGGTTTTTTACAGAGAGGAAGGGAGAGGGATAGAGTTAGAAACATCAGTGAGACACATCGATCAGCTGCCTCCTGCACACCCCCTACTGGGGATGTGCCCGCAACCAAGGTACATGCCCTTGACCGGAATTAAACCTGGGACCTTTCAGTCTGCAGGCTAACGCTCTATCCACTGAGCCAAACCAGTTAGGGTTGGATTTTTATAACATTTAAATTATTAGTAAAGCTGGTAGCATTATATTTATTTTTTGGTAGATTCTGTATAAGTTTTGCCTTCTCAAACAAAATTCTTAACTTTTTTGGGATAGTGGGTGAGTTTCTGATAGCCGCCATGGACTTACTCCCCCCTGCCACTCCTGTCACTGAAGCAGCACTTTCTAGAGTCAGTAATGCCATGTTATTAAGTCCAACACACTTTTAACAGTCTTTATCTGACTTCACCCCTCAGTGTTATCCAGCAGTATTGTTGACTTTCCTCTTCTTAAAACTTTCTCCTCTCTTGGATTCTGTGGCATCGCATCCTCCCAGTTTTCCTCCCTTCTCGTGGGGTCCTTCTTTCTCAGTTACTTATATGCAGGTTCTTTCTCATCTACTAATCCATTAAATGTTGGAATTCCGCAAGGCTCCATCCTAGGTCTTTTCTCCCCACAGGTAATTTCCAAAATTACCAAATTTACTATTTCTTTTCCGTTAACTCAGAAATGTATTCCTCTAACCCAAACTTGTCTGGGCTCTGAACTCAAACTGCCATCTACATATCTCAAAAGTCTCCCAAAATTAACATACGCAAACGGACCCCATGATTGCTGATCTTCTCCTATCCTCCCACCAAATTTGATCTTCTTTTTATATCCTCTGTTCATCTAATACAAGCCAGGTAACTGAGTCATTTTCAAAATACCTCTTGCTTTCCATATTCAGGTTATCTCTAAGTTCTGTCATTTTTATGCTCCTAAATGTTATCTCAAATCCATCCACTGCTCTACATTTCCACTTTTACCTTTTTAGATTAAGACAGCATCATATCTTGCCTGGTTTACTTCAATATCTACTCTAGCCTCCTGACTGGTCTTCTGTATCTACTCTTCCTCCTCAGCATCAGCTCTCCATGAGCTTTTAGAAAATGTAAGACTGATCACGTTACCTCCCTTCTTATCTCCCTTCTTAAAACCATTTGTGGCCTCCCACTGCTCTCTCTCTCTCTTGTTTTTATTTCCTTCTTTTTTTCCTTTTTTTTTTTTATTGATGAGAGAGATAGAGAAATATCGATTTATTGTTCCACTTATTGATGCATTCATTAGTTAATTCTAGTATGTGCCCTCACCAACCCACAACCTTGGTGTATTGGGACTATGCTCTAACCAACTGAACTACCAGACCAGGCTCTTAGGATAAAAATCAAAATCCTTCACATGACCTACAAGCCTCAGTGCAGCCTGGCTGCTCCTCTCTCTTGCCTGATGCACTGTGTGCTCCCCTTTGCTCTCTCTGCCCTTCCATATCTTCAGACTTGTAGTGTTTCTCTCACTACAGGATCTTTGTGCTCCCTCAATCTATAACCATCTTCTTCACCTAAGTAATTTTACTTACTCTCCAGATCTCCATGCAGCCTTCATTTCCCAGAGAAGCCTTCCAGCTTGAGTCAGACACCCCTGTTAGACACTACAGTAGTACCATATCAAATTTCAGTCCCAGAACTACTAACTCTTATTCTATCATAATCCTTAACTCAGTTTTAATTTGCACTTATTTGTATGACTCTTTAATTACTGACACTTTCCTCTTTGCCAAAGGACTGAGGACCTATTTTTCACTCACTAATGTATCTGTAGTGCCTGCAACGCCTGGGACATAGCAGGCACCTCCTGTCTATTTGATGATAGATGATTGGATGGATGGTTGAATGGAGCCCAACCCAGTTGTAGACACACAGTGGACAAGTAGTGAGTGAGTGATTTGGCTTGCTAAGGAAATTTCTGGGAAGCTAAAGAGCAACTTTTACTCTAAATTTTTTGAGTGATAGCAGCATGTTCTAAAAGGAAGTCCAATGGTTTTAGAATAAGATACTCTTGGGTTCAAGTCCCAAGTCATAAACTGTGTGACCTCAGGTAAACCATCTAGTTTCTTTGAATCTTAGTTTTATAATCTGGAAAAAAAAAAAAAAAAAAACAAGGCAATAACATTTTCTGGAGTTGTGAAGATTACATTAGGTAATATATGAAAAATGCAGAGCAAAGTGTTTGGGATGGTATGTAGTCAATAAATATGAAGCCCTCTCTCTTTTCCTCCTAAATTTTGACAAAATCTTTATTGTGATAAAGCACAATAATATTAAAATATTTGTATGTGTTGCCATATCATAACCTGCTCTTAACATGCTGTTAAGATTCCTTCATAGGCATTTCTCTCATAGACAATGGCCACCAGCATTTCTTACCTTAGAAGCACAGGAGGTTTTCCTTGTGACCAGTCTCTAGTGGTGTCTTCCAGCTTGAAACCTGAAGACATTATAATGGGACTTTAGTAGACTTTATAATTTATGTAGTACTATAGCACATAGCTTCTCGGAGCTAAATTATTAAAATATAATTTATTTAAACTATATACATTAAACATAGATGATAACATTGGTTCATTAGCTACCTAGATTTATATTTCAAGCCACTTATATAATGTGTCTGTTTCTATTCTAGTTTATTATTATTTTTTTAGTTGTGAATGAACAGGCTTTGGGCCAGATAACTAGATTATGTGTTTCTTTTGTAGAGCTGTAATAACAGATTGTGGGTAGGGTTGCAAAAGTTTCTCCAGTGGGTGTGATGCAATCTTATAACAGGTGTATTTTACAGCTGCCTTCTCTAGGGAATCAGACAAGAAAGATAGGGAAATGTTTAACCTACACTTATAATATTTGGCCATGCTAATAAATAGTAAAATTGTATCTTTTTACAGTTATAGTCCCTTTTTCTTTATTTCTCTCCCACCCTCCCCAACACACACACACACACACACACACGCATACATGCAAACACGTAAAAGGTATGCACTTTGTTATAATGAAAAGTACACTGGACTAAGAATTAGTAGTGCTAGGTTTGAAATTCAGCCCTCTTACTAGTTAGGTGTATGACCTTAGGCAAGTCTGTTCAATTTCTCTCTCCATAAAACCAGATAATTGG